TTCCCAGGCCACAGCAAAGAGCTGGATTGGAAGAGGAGCAGCTGGGACTGGAACCAGCACCCTTATGGGATGCCGGTGCCGCATTGGGAAGATTAACCTACTGCACCATGGTGCCAGCTCCTCCCCGTCCCCAGCTGCTCCATTTCTGATCCAGCTCTCTGCTATGGCCTGGGAAAGCAGTAGAGGATTGCCCAAGTCCTTGGGCCCCTGTACCCATGTAGAAGACCCAGAAGTTCCTGGCTCCAAATTGGCACTACTCTAGCCATTGTGGCCATCTGGGGGAGTGAACCAGTGGATAGAAGACCTCTCTCTCTCTCTCTCTCTGCCTCTTTGTAACTCTGCCTTTCAAATAAATAAATCTTTATATAAAAATGATGCATTTGTAAAAGAACTTATAAAATAAATAAATAAATGTATGAGGAGATAGCTAGGTTTACTTTGGACATTATACAATGTTTACGTGTACTGAAAATTATCACATTGTACCCCTTAAATATGTTCAATTTTTGTGTATCAGTTAAAAATTTTAAAAAGAATAATTTCAAAAGAGAGAGAGCAATTTAGGTTTCTCTGTATAAGCATTCTTTTCCTAAGAATCCTCATTAAAATGAAACCAATGGGGACCAGCATGTGGTGCAGTGAGCTAAGCAGCTGCCTGCAATGCTGGCATCCCATATCATATGCCAGTTCGAGTTCTGGCTGCTAAGCTTTGGATCCAGCTCCCTGCTAAAATGCAACCACTGAAGACTTCCCAGCAAGTCCCAATATATTCTAGTATATGGAGTACTCTCCATAGCAGACCTGACCAGTGGTTACTTGAAAGAAGTTAATGTAGAAACATACCAAATGAACTTTTCCTAAATGTTGCTTAGTAGAAGGAAAAAAAAAATGTGTGAATGTGTGACACGGGGAATTTCACTGGAACAGATGCCCATGGTTATAAAAATTCAGCGAGGAGAAGAAAAATACAACTAGGCAGGATCGTTAACCAAAGATTATATGTACAGTTATGGCTTCAGACCTAAAGATAAATGGAAAGTAGGAAAGCATTTTGTTTTAAATGCATGTAACTAAGATAGTAGAAGGACTGTTGACTAGAGATCAAAGTGAATGTTTTCTTAAAAAACAACCAGAATAAAAACAAAACAACCAGAATAAAAAACCACAAAAACTATAATCAATAAAAGAAAGCATTTTTACAAAGAAATTTCCCTCAGCGAGCTGAGTGAAAAAATATGTAAATAGCTTCTGTTTTTATAGTTAAAGCTTTTTAATCTCTAGTGCATAACAATAATTGAAAGAATTCTGAGAAATTAAACAAAAGTATTTGGTGGGTTTGAGTTAATGGGCCAAGCAAGCTTTTTTTCCTTGGCTTCTCTGTCAAATGAATCATAGATTGAGTCTTTGGTTATAGTTTTAGCCATGGGAGGGATTTCTGAAATGCCAACATAGTTTTTTTTGGCTATCCTTGAACTTGTTGTGATCGTATAGGCATTGCTTCGGTAACATTTCATCGAGGACATGCAAAAAGTCTCTTTCATCCCTCGCCTAAAATTGGCATTATAAATTGAATACAGAGTAGGCTTGGAGGCTGAAGAACTAAAGGATATCCATGTGACAGCTGTGAAAACAAGGGAACTTTTCTTATAGTCCTGTTCGTGGGGGTGCCACAGCTGAGCTACATGAAAAGGCAGCCAGGAGAGCAAAAACAATAGATTTAAAATGAGGAACATTTTGATAGTTTTCACTTTTGTCCTTGGGACAATATTCATTGTCCTCCTCACTGTTCGGCCATCAGTGCCTATTCTCCAAATATACTTTATGACCTTTTGGTAAAATAAGATTATGAGGACAGATGGAATCACAAAGCCTACCAAGAAGTGGATGACAGTATAGGCGGTTCCTTCCCAAGACGAAGGGAGGAAATAGTTACAATGACTGTCCCAGTTAGAGCCGTAGAGGAAGAACACGGGGATCACAAAGACTGCATCAAAGATCCAAGATGCTGCAATCATTTTCTTAGCTTTTTCTCTGGTCACCTTGAAGCTCAGAGGATAGACAATGGTGTAGAACCGGTCTATGCAGATAGAGAGGAGCACATAGATCTGGACGCCTGGAGTGAGATACTGGAAATACCGCACAGCTTTGCACATAGCACTGCCAAGTGTCCACCGGCCAGCGGCGAGCTGGAGCAGGACGAATGGTGTGCTGGCGATGCTGATGAGAAGATCAGCGCATGCCAGTGAGACCACAAAGTAGTTCGTGGTAGACTGAGTCCTTCTACTCCTATGGATTACCAAACAAACCAGGGAATTGCCAAAGATAGAAAACAACCACAGAGTCCCAAAGAAAATGCTGGCTGTGGCCACTTCCCCAGGTTTCAGTCCGTATTGAAGGTCTGTTCTGTTGCTCATCCCATTGTGCTCCTCATGTAATTCGGTCAGGCTGTGGCTTGGCAGAGGTGCGGCTGTTTCAGTGCAGCTGTGGTTGTGGAGGGGTACCAGAAGAGTAGGGGTAACCAAAGCTGGCTTGCTGTTGTCCATTCTGTGAGCAAAAACCATATTCATTTTTTCCTTCTTAGTTCTGGATAAAAAAAGAAGAATGAGGCTTCCTGTTAAAATGGTGTCACACAGACTAATTACTAATGCTAACAATCTTACTCAACACTTGGGTTGGTTGTCATCTGTTAACAAGTAGGATTTGTACACTAGCAAGAAAACATAACTACTATCCAGAAAAAATTCTGATCTTTTTTATGCTTTTTTCATTTTAGAATGAGATCAGGGTCATCCTTGCATCACTCTCTCCGACCCTTAGTCCTGCCACACCCACTCCTTTCCATACCCGTGTTTTTCATTCACTGAGGATCATGGAAGTGCAAATCTGCTCTTGGTAAGGGTGCCACCAGCTGATAAGCTGTTGGCACTCCGGGCAGGTATGTGAGAAGTTCCTAAATGTCCAAAAACTAAAGAAGCTTGGGTAGATGGAAACACACAGATGTCAGCAATGTAAATAACAGGAGCCTGTGGACACAGACGGGCTATTGGGGAAGACCCTGCCCTTACACACAGCAGATTTTCTATCATTTTTTCTATTTCCTTGTGATAACATGTGGAGCAATCAACAGTGTGACACAGTCTAAAAAGAGCTTGCTTTTTCTGAAAGATGATGTAGCTCCTGTACTAATGGTTTGTTACCTCTCAGTGACATACATTTTGATGCTTTTCTGTTGATATTGTTTCATAAAATAACATAGTGACTGAAGAACATTAACAAATATTCACTCAGGAATGTATGCAGATTATAACAGAGACTTCAGGGTGTGGGGAGCAACCTGGACTAGACTGAGTTACCGGAATTAAGACTTATTCTATGCATCTGCTCTCCCACAATATGGCGCTGGGAGAGAAGTAAACAGCTTCCGCACAGCTGCCTCCAGTTCAACCAATTAACTGTAGGACTTGCTCCTGATTGGAGAGCAGCGTACTCGGCATGTGGGCAGCCGAGTTGGGATTGGCGGAGGAGGACTATAAAGGAGGAGAGAGACGGCATGCACCGGGAACATCTATGGGGAACATCTAAGGTGAATACCTGTGCAGCCCCCGAGAAGAGCCGGCCGGCGGTGTGCCGCTCCCCTGCGGAAGTGGGGAATGTGGCAGGGGGAACTGCCCTTCCACGGAGGTGGAAGGGATAGTAGCCAACCCGGGAAGAACCAGCAGCAAACCCGGGGAGGGCCGAGCAGACAGAAAGAACAGCGCAGGGTCTAGTGTCGTTCCTCCACGAAGAGGGGGAGCGACACAGGGTTTTCAGATGATTGATTAAAAACAACAAAATATTACTATTACTATCACTCAGCAACTTTTTAAAGGCTTATGATCCTTAACTATCAAAGAATACTATGAATTTTAGCCTCTACTTCATGCTTTTTTTTGTATTATTCAGTGAGGAAAAAAGTACACTTTTTAACAGGTAAAATATTGTATAACTGCAGGTCATTCAATTAAAAATCAGGTGATTTTGGTCAAAGGTAGATGATAAAGGCTTTATCTGGCCTGAATTCATTAAACAGAAAGCACAGCAAGTGAATCCATTATAATCATAGTAAAAGAAATAGGATAAACATGAATATTTTCAAAATTTTGTGCACTAAAGAAACAGGGTGGTGTCAGCCTAGAGGTTAACATACTACTGGGGCACCTGCATACTACATTGAGTGCCTGTGTTCAAGCCCTGGCTTTTCTTCCAATTCCATCTTCCTGCTAATGTGTACACTGGGAGATAGCAGCCATTGACTCAAGAACTTAGGTCCTAAAAAAAAAAAAAAAAAAGAAACTCAGGTCCTTGCCACCCACCTGGAAGACCTGGATTAAGTTCCTGGTTCTTAACTGGCTGGCCTACCAATGGCTGTTGACAGCATTTGGGGAGTGAACCAGTATATGGAAGATCTCTGACTCTCTTTATCAAGTAAGTAAAAAATAGGGGCCGGTGCTGTGGCACAGCAGGTTAACGCCCTGGCCTGAAGCGCCAGCATCCCATATGAGAGCTGGTTCAAGACCCGGATGTTCCACTTCCAATCCAGCTCTCTGCTATGGCCTGGGAAAGCAGTAGAAGACGGCCCAAGTCTTTGGGCTCCTGCACCCACATGGAAGACCCAGAAGAAGCTCTTGGTTCCTGTCTTCAGATCGGCGCAGCTCTGGCCTTTGCGGCCATCTGGGGAGTAAACCAGCGGATGGAAGACCTCTCTCTTTCTCCGCTTCTCCTTCTTGCTCTGTGTAACCCTGAATTTCAAGTAAAATAAATAAAATCTTTCAAAAAAAAAAGTAAAAATAAATCAAAAGTTTAAAGGAAGAAGCTCATGTGGCATTGCAGCCACCATACTGCTGACTGTCCATCTGGCCTGGGGCACAAGAGGAAATCGTTCCAGCAACAGGCTTTGGTAGAGACTGGTTTCCCTCTTGGCGGGCTCCTGCGACCATACTCACAGAGAAACATTTCTGCAGAGGCAAGATTAAAGAACAGTTCTCAGTACAGAACAATTCTTAATGATCCATTTTTTCCTTTAAGGGTATTTACACTAATGTATGGTAGGAAGAGGATTGTTACTATATATTGTCTTCATCAATAAACCACCTTCAACAAACGTAGGGCACTCAAGGCAATGTACTGAACAGCCTAATATCTTTAGGCACTGAAAAACAAACAAACAAATACAAAGCAGCCCTATTTAACTTCTAAAAAAAAAAACACCAAAAATCATGAAGCAGCCCTACTTAAGCTCTCAAAGAGAACTGTAAGATAATTAGATATTTGAATTACTAAAAGGCCCTGAAGCATGCTGGCCAAATAATAGCCAACTGTAACAACAGCAACCAAACTTTCCATTTAAAAAAATCAGGATACATAGTCTGAAAACAGGACATAAGATCTAAAATTATCACTGTCCTAGAAAACTCTATACTTCATGACCCTCATACTTATAAAATTGAAATAGATGTTTCACCATTTATTTGTGTACAAATTTTTTTAAAAACTAAGATTTAAAATTTTAAAAATAAAAAATACAAGTAATTTTCTTTCTTTTTAAAAATTTATTTGAGGCCGGTGCCATGGCTCACTTGGTTAATCCTCCGCCTGTGGCGCTGGCACCCGGGGTTCTAGTCCCAGTTGGGGCGCCGGGTATTAGTCCCGGTTGCTCCTCTTCTGGTCCAGCTCTCTGCTGTGGCCCAGGAGGGCAGCAGAGGATGGTCCAATTACTTGGGTCCCTGCACTTGCATGGGAGACCGGGAGGAAGTACCCGGCTCCTGGCTTCGGATCAGTGCAGCGCCGGCTGTGGCGGCCATTAGGGGAGTGAACCAACGGAAGGAAGACCTTTCTCTCTCTCTCTCTCTCTCTCTCTCTCTCTCTCACTGTCTATAACTCTCTCCTGTCTCTCTCTCACCGTCTAACTCTGCCTGGAAAAAAAAAAAAAAAAAAAAAAAAAAGGAAGAAAGAAAGATTATTTGAAAGGCAGAGAGAGATCAACAAATGCTGGTTTACCCTCTAATCACCCCCAATAGCTGGAGCTGGGCCAGGTCAAAGCCAAGAGCCAGGAATACAATTCAGGTTTCCTACATGGGTGACTGGGACCCAAGTACCTGAGCCATCATCACTGCCTCCCCCAGGGTGCACATAAGCAGGAAGCTGGAATTGGGGCAAAGCTGAGACTCAAACCAGGCACTCTAATATGGTATGACACGATATGATAACTACTGTGCCAAATACCTGCTCCCAGACAGGCAATTTTCCCAGGGAGGAAGCTATTCTAAACATTTTTGGGTAAGGCCTATGGCCTAAATAAAATAGCAGTTGGTGGCACAGGCACTTGTGCTTGGTCAATACCTATACTTTAAATCCTGTGAATGTCTTTTTTGTTTCTCTCTTCCTTTCATAGCTCATTGCTACACCAGTGAGTGTGTCTCTGACTTCTTAGAAGCAGAGGATCCTGGTGTTCGGAGACAGAACAGAGCCCAAGTTCATGAGACTAGGTTCCCCCTGCTGGTGGTACAACTTCTCTCACTCCACCTAAAACTGCTGCAGCTCTATTCATTTAATAAACCAAGAAACTGTGCTGGGGACCTGGGAAATGTAAATGGGTAAGATCTATAAACTATGCAGTCTGCCATACTCTGACTAAATTAGGCAATAATTGTAATTAACTACTAAACACACACACACACATACACACATACATATATACATACATACATACAAGCAGCTAAGTAGCAGAGAAAAAGAGTAACCCAATTTTGCCTGGAATAGGTGGAGAGAGAGAGAAGATTTCACAATAAAGGTAAGGTTAGGGCTGGGTGCTTAGAGGCCAACTTTTTGACTTCAGAAAGACACGAGCAAACAATTCCAGGGAAGAGAACAAGCATGTGGAATGAATCTGGGGGTCATCCTCTTGGACTGATGTTTTTGGGACCTTTTCCCCTTAGAGACAAGGTTTCCCTCAGGCCATACTTCCCAGAATAGTTAATCGGACAAGTATTTGGCAGAGCAGTGAAGTCACCACTTGGGATGCTCACATCCTATATCGGAGTCACTGGGTCTCAGTCCCAGCTCCTCTTCCGCTTCCAGCTTTCCGCTAATGCACATCCTGGGAAGCAGCAGATGATGGCTCGAGTAGTTGGGTTCCTGAACGCATGTGGAAGACCCGGACTGAGCTTACAGGCTTCTGGCTTCAGCCTGGCCTAGCCCTGGTTGCTACAGGCATTTAGGGATCTTGCAGATGGAAGACCTTTCCCTCTCTCTCTACCTTCCAAATAAATAAAAAGCAATAATATACACTTTCTAAATGCCTTCCAATATAACTGACCAAAAGGTTTCCTATGGTTATCACGTGTTGTGTATCTTGCACATTCATGAGTGGAGATGTGGTTGGACAGAGAATATTAGCACACCCAGAATGGTGGGATGGTACTTTTGTTCATACGGCACTTTTGTCAGTCTGTTACTACACCATTTTCCAAGTTTGTTTTGCTCTAGCTTAGCAATATATTGCACTTTCACAGGGAGCTTTTAAAATACTGATGCCTGGGTCCTACCCGCTGGGATTCTAATTTAATTGGGCTGGAGTGCAGCCCAGTCATTGGGATGTTTCAGTTCCCCAGGCGAACCTAATGTGCAGCCAAGATTAAGAATCACTGCTTCAGAAAGCATCCACATTTCTGTGTTCCCTACTCCACCAAGGGCTCCTGCAGGGAAGGCATTGTGCTTTTCTCCATGCTCCATGGCTTCTGCTCAAGTTCTTTACATTAATAACTGCTTATTAAATATATAGTGAATCAGATCCATAAAGACAGAGAGCTGAAATAAATTACTCTATGTACCTCTGCTAGGAGAATCAAATGAAGATGTAGAAAGTCAATGTGTACTCTCAGGGAGCTAAAACATTTGTGATCATGGTGACAGGATAAAATATGACTCCTGATAAGAGCAGCACAGATGAAACTGAAGTCACCCAGGTCAACAATTACATGAAATACAAGTCTCATCTAAGGGTGAGTGAAGGTCATTAAGGTGCCCTCAAACCTGCCATACTGTAATTAAATTCAAGGGCCTAAAAGTAAGATTTCACAAAGGTCTCCCCTGCTCCATTAATTTGGAAATAAATATCTTCAAAGGCTTATTTCTGAAACATGGGGCCAATTAATTAGTAATTATGTTCAGAGTCATCCATATGTGGTCATTTTTGGAATGGTAAGAAAGATTTCAGGGGCCAGTGCTGTGGCACTGGATCCAGCTCTCTGCTATGGCCTGGGAAAGCAGAAGATGGCCCAAGTGTTTGGGCCCCCGCACCCATGTGGGAGACCTGGAAGAAGCTCCTGGCTCCTGACTTTGGATCGGTTCAGCCACAGCTGTTGCAGCCATTTGGAGAGTGAACCAGCAGATGGAACACCTCTCTATCTCTACCTCTCTCTGTAACTCTTTCAAATAAATAAAATATCTTTTAAAAAATTTTTCGGCCAGCGCCACGGCTCACTAGGCTAATCCTCCGCCTGTGGCGCCAGTACTCTGGGTTCTAGTCCCAGTTGGGGCGCCGGTTCTGTCTTGGTTGCTCCTCTTCCAGTCCAGCTCTCTGCTGTGGCCCAGGAAGGTAGTGGAGGATGGCCCAAGTGCTTGGAAGCACCTGGCTCCTGGCTTCAGATCGGCACAGTGCGCCGGCCATAGCGGCCATTTGGGGGGTGAACCAATGGAAGGAAGATCTTTCTCTCTGTCTCTCTCACTAACTCTGCCTGTCAAAAAAAAAAAAAAAAGGGAAAAAATTTTTTTTCATCATTTTTTTAATCTTTCTCTTCCCCGTCAATTTTGAAATATTCCATTGGGTTAAGTTATTAGAGGCCTTTGTCTCTTTCTATATATTATCTAAAAAAGTAATAATTCATCTATTAAATTATGTACTTATCAGGACTAGTATTGTGGTGCAGTGGGTTAAAACACCAGTTGTGATGCTAGCATGCCGAGTTGGAGTACCAGTTTGACTCCCGGCTATTCAGCTTCCAATCCAGCTTCCTGTTGCTGTGTCTGCAAAGGCAGTGGAAGATAGCCCAAGTATGTGGGCCCCTGCCACCCAAGTGGGAGAACTGGATGGAGTCCTGGTTCCTGCTTTGGTCTTGCCCAAACCTTGCTACTGTGGGCAACTGGAGAGTGAACCAGCAGATGGAAGATCTCTCTCTCTCTCTCTCTCTCTCTCTCTCTCCCCCTGGGCCTCAAGTACTTGGTCATCTGTTGCTGCTTGCCTAGGCACATTGACAGGGAGCTGAATTGGAAGTGGAGCAGCTAGAACTTCAACCACATCTCATATTGGTGTCACTGAGTTTCAGTCCCAGGTCTTCTGATACCAGCTCACTGCTAATGTACATCCTGGGAGGCAGCAGATGATAGCTCAAGTACTTAGGTCACTGACAACCACATGGGAGATCCTGGCTGCTGGGAGCATTTGGGGAGTGAACCAGTGGATGAAAGATCTCTAGATCTGTCTCTTCCTCTCCTCTATTTCTCTGCCTTTCAAATAAATATAATACAGTAATTTTTTAAGAACAAGGAGACATATCCTATCTTGATTTTAAAAACTGAGCAGCAAAGAGACAGGAAGAGCTCTCATCTGCTGTTTCACTCCCCAAACGCATGCCAGGGCTGATCTGGGACCAGAACTAGGAGTCAGGAGCAAAATCCAAGTCTCCCATGTGGATGGCAGGAGTCCAATTGCTTGAGCCATCACTGCTGCCTCCCAGTGCATATTAACAAGAAGCTGGAGTCAGAAACTTGATCCAGCAGTTGTACTCAGGAAACTCCAATGTGGGATGCAGGCATGTTAACAACTAGGCTAAATGTCCACTCCCCTGGGATAGTCATGAATGGGCCTCTCCAAGGATTATTTAAATCTCTGGGAAAATGTATTTATGCTTCATTTTGCTATTTACTATTTGACAAGCGCCAAGATACTGTGAAGTTACATGTTAACTTGTAAATTTCTGTCTAGCAGGAAAATTAATGTTATGGGACTTAGTGCTCTGTGGTACATTAACCCGTTCTGTGTCTCCCTAGCAATCTTATACTGACACTCTTATTTCAAAATGCCTATACACAAGGAAAGCCAAGACACTCTGGCAAAAAAAAAAAAAAAAAAAAAAAAGGACCTAAATGAAAGATCTCTGTGAGTGAGATCCCAGTGGAAAGAACAGGTCTTCAAAGAAGGAGGTACCTTTCTCTGAAGGGAGGAGAGAACTTCCACTTTGACTATGACCTTGTCTAAATAAGATAAGAGTCGGTGAACTCAAAAGGCTTCCATAGCCTTGGAAACTCATGACTGGAGCATAGGGAGATTACTGATGCCATAAACAGGAGTGTCAATTTGTTAAGTCAACAACAGGAGTCACTGTGCACTTACTCCTCATGTAGGATCTCTGTCCTTAATGTGCTGTACATTGAGACTTAATGCTATAACGAGTACTCAAACAGTATTTTTCACTTTGTGTTTCTATGTGGGTGCAAACTGTTGAAACCTTTACTTAATGTATGCTAAACTGATCTTCTGTATATATAGAAAATTGAAAATGAATCTTGATATGAATGGAGGGGGAGAGAGAGCGGGAAAGGGGAGGGTTGCGGGTGGGAGGGAAGTCATGGGGGTGGGGGAGCCAATGTAATCCATAAGCTGTACTTTGGAAATCTATATTCATTAAATAAAAGTTAAAAAAAATGCCTATACATACTGATTTCTCCAAAATAAATTAATTGCTTCCAAATATAAATTAATCAATCCTTGACACGTATTCATTCTGTATTTGTATGTGTCTTGATTTAAGCTTTCTAAAAAATCATTCTTGGATAACAAATGACTGGAAACCAATGAGAGGGAAAGAGAAGCACCAAGACGAACAAGAGGGCCAGTGCAGATTAAGTTGCTGCCTGCAGTCCCAGCATCCCATATGGGCTGCTCCACTTCCAATCCAGCTCCCTCCTAATATGCCCGGGAAAGCAGCAGAAGATGGCCTAAGGCCTTGGGCCCCTGCACCCATGTAGGAGACTTGGATGAAGTTCCTGGCTCCTGGCTTCTGTCGGCCCAGCCTGGCTACTGTAGCCATTTAGGGAATGAACCAGTGGATGGAAGACTTCTCTCTCTCTGCCTCTGCCTCTCCCTTTTTGTAATGTCACCTTTCAAATAAATAAATATATAAATAAACATTAAAAAGAAAAAAGGACAAATGGGGGACATAGCTGAACTTTGTGTTCCTCAGTCCTACCAGGTCCAGTCCCAGGCAAGCAAAGTACCTGGTTTCTTCTAAACTCAAAAAAACTCTACCTGGGGCCGGCACTGTTGTAATGGGTTAAGCTGCCACCTGCAATGCCAGCATCCCATACCGGCACAGGTTCAAGTCTCAGCTGCTCTACTTCCAATCTGGCACCCTACTATAATGCCTGGGAAAGCAGCAGAGGATGGCCCAAGTCCTTGGGCCTCTGCACCCATGTGAGAGAACAAGAAGTTGTTCCTGGTTTCCGTCTGGCACAGCCCCAGCCATTGTAGCCATTTGGGGAGTGAACCAGTGGGTGGAAGATCTCTATCTTTCTTCCTAACCCCCTTTCTTTCTGTAACTCTGCCTTTCAAATAAATAAAATCTGTAAAAACAAACAAACAAAATAAAAACACAAGGGGCTAGCGCTATGGCGTAGTGGGCTAAGCCTCGCCTGCAGTGCCGGCATCCCAGATGGGCGCAGGTTCATGTCCTGGTTGCTCCTCTTCTGATCCAGTTCTCTGCTATGGCCTGGGAAAGCAGTGGAAGACAGTCCAAGTACTTGGGCCCCTGCACCCCCGTGGGAGACCCAAATGAAGCTCCTGGCTCCTTGCTTCAGATCAGCTCAGCTCCAGCTGCTGTGGCCATTTGGAGAGTGAACCAGCAGCCACAAGACTTTTCTCTCTGTCTCTCCCTCTGTAATTCTGCCTTTCAAATAAATAAATAAAATCTTTAAAAAAAAATTCTAAACACCAATTTGCTTTCCCTCCCAAAATTATAAAGACTGATATTCTCAGTATATAGGAAGGCCATTTTTATTTCTGAGATTTGTTTAAAAACTTAATGTCAAAGAATTTTTATATGATCTTGTTAAAAAACAACAGAAACATCTTCTGAAGAATGGAAATTATCTGTTGGAGCTAAGCAGATACATAAGGCCATTTGCAAATGAGTAATAAGAATAATCACAACAAAGACAGTGGCTATAGAATCAGTAGTACAAGAGGTAGTCCTTATTTTGTGCTCAATGTATATCAGGCATTTTATATGTATAACCCTTCCAATTAGGTATTATTGGCTCTGTTTTACAACTGAGAAAAACTGAAGTCCTTCTCCAGGGGTCATCTGAAGATTGCCCACTTCTTGCTCCTGATTATACTCAGGGCTTCATTCCCCAGGGAGGCCACAGAGGGTCTGCTCTGGATTCAGAGGGTCAGACTGGCTCTTTCTGGGCAGGTCCTTTTGACTCCTCTAAACACAGGAAGACACAGTTACTCCCTAGAGGTTCCTGCCTTCCCACAGACACATCTGTTCAATATGCCAGCTCACAAATATGTGACACAGTGAGCATTTAAAAAACAACACAATCACTCCCACCATGTTCTGCATGGAGGCTCAGCATGAGAAGTGCAGCAGACTTGCTGGTCAGGAGGCAGAGCCTTTCTTCAGAACAAAGAATGTGAGTGTTAGACATTCATGATGACTGATGATTAACTGTTGCCTTTTAAATGCAGAATAGAAGCAGTGTGAACTGAAGTGAGGAAAAAGTTTGGTCAATGTTTTACCCCAAGGAGGAAATTATCTTTTAAAATTTTAATTGTTTTATTTTACATTTTTACTTATTTTCATTTTTACTTGTATGTTTGATTTTTATATGCGTGTGTGTGTGTATATATATATAGAGAGAGAGAGAGAGAGACAGACAGACAGAGAGTCGAAGGATCTTCGATCTGCTGGTTCACTGCCCATGAGCTTTCAACAGCTAGGGCTGGCCTAGGCCAAAGCCAGAAGAAGCTAGGAACTCAATCCAGGTCTTCCAGATGAGATTCAGGGACCTTAGCACTTGAGCCATCATCTGCTGCCTCCCAGGGTACACATTAGTTAGAAGTCAAAATTGAAAGTGGTGCCAGAATTCAAACCCTCCTATATGGGATGTAGGGCTATCAAGGGCATCTTAATGGCTGTGCCAAATGCCTACCACCTAACTGTTTTATATCAGAAAATACCATGGTGGTAGATATTTCTCTTAAACCTTTCACTGTTATGTAGGCTTAATTTACCTGTATATGAAAAAAGAAATGCCTCTAACAGTGGCTACCTTCCATGGAAGGAGTTATACATACCAGTTCCCATCTACAGGTTCAATGACACCATGCTGGTATCGTGATCAACTATGATAGGAATATTCACACCACACAAATCAACAAGCACCACAAATCAGGGTTTGTCCTCTCTGCAGAACAGGTGTTAAACATTTACCATCACACCACTTCCAGTAGAGCAGGGTTTATGGGGCAACTTATTCCAAGGTCCTGAATTTACATCCTTGACCTTGGATGGCTCAGGAGGCCACCCAGGCTCTTTTGAGGCTTCCTGACTTGCTATCTTGCTTTGTGGCTGTTGTGCTGGGAAGACGTAACTAAGTGCCTTTTAGAACAATTTAAGGTGACCCAGGCATCCATCAGCATGATTCCAGTGGGGAAACAAGAAAACCAGAGGGGCCAGTGCTGTGGCGTAGCCAGTAAAGCTGCTGCCTGCAGTGCCAGCATCCCATATGGGCGCCAGTTCGAGTCCTGGCTCCACTTCCGGCCCAGCTCTCTGCATGGCCTGGGAAAGCAGTGGAAGATGGCCCAAGTCCTTGGGCCCCTGCACCCGTGTTGGGGACCTGGAGGAAGCTCCTGGCTCCTGGCTTTGGATCAGCACAGCGCTGGTTGTTGTGGCCATCTGGGGAGTGAACCAGCAGATGGAAGATCTCAGTCTCTCTGCCTCTCTGCAACTCTGCCTTTCAAATAAATAAATAAATAAATAAAGAAGGAAGGAAGGAAGGAAGGAACGAAGAAAGGAAGGAAGGAAGAAAATTGGAGAGTATAAGACATGCTCTCCTAATGTGCCAGCCAGATAAAATATAGGATGCCCATTTACATGTGAATTTCAGATAAATATATTTTTACCATAAGCATGAGCACCCTCAAAAAGTCCATGGAAATATGAATGGATTTAAAAATTTCTGTATCCAAATAGACTATCTTTTTATTCTATTTTTCCAGGGACTTTTTGAATTCTGCTTGTATGTCACATGTAATATCCTATTAATACTTAATTGATGTCCAGTATTTTTATTTGCTACATCTGGCAAATCTATACTGGAACATAATCTACTGAAAAAAATACATATATTTTCCATCTCACAGTACAAGCATATTGCAAAGTGTGGGAACACAGGCTTTGAAATCAGATACCTGAAGTACAAATCCTATTTTTGTCACTCACTAACCTGTGTGACCTTGAGCAAGTTACCTAGCCCTCTTGTACTTCAGTTCTTTTATCAGTAAGGTAAGCATAATTAGTTCCTATTTCATCCGATCATGAGAATTGAATGAGAGAACATATATAGGAGTTAATGAGTTAAGACATTTAAATCTGCTTGGTACAAGGAAAATAGTGACTTGTATTTTTGTGTAGTTTATACTCCTATGAAATCCTTCCTCTGTGTCTGGCATACAGCAAGTGCTTCAAAAATTACCATTCTTACTACTGTTCGCTCAATAGTTTTTAAAATCATATGACAGACAAATTTTAGTAACCAGGTGTAGGTATTTGGTCTAGTGGTTAAAACGAAGCTAGGGTACCTACATCCCACATTGGCGTGCTTGAGCTCAAATTCTAGATCCACTTCTACTTCTAGCTTCCTGCTAGTGTAAAAATCTAAGAGGCAGCAGGTGATGGTTCAAACAGTTGAGTTCTTGCCGCCCAGGTGGAAGATTTGGATTGAGTTCCTCAACTCCTGGTTTTGGTCCAGCCTCCCTGGCTGCTGTGGGCATTTGGGGAGTCAATCAGTGCATGGGAACTGTCTGTGTCTGTCTTTCTACACTTCAAACAAATAAATAAAAATTTTTAAAATATTAGTATAACCATACTAACATCAGTCACATGATTTAGGTTTGTTAAGGGTAAATAGCTTTTATGAAGGGGCCTAGATACCTAATCATCACTTAAACAACACTTTTAAGGGAAAAATTATTGAGGCCCAAATAAATGAACACAACTTTCTCCAAACTGGAGATTTAGGAGCCGGCACTGTGGCGTAGCGGGTAAAGCTGCCACCTGCAGTGCCGGCATCCCGTATGGGCGCCAGTTCGAGTCCTGGCTGCTCCACTTCCGATGCAGCTCTCTGCTATGGCCTAGGAAAGCAGTAGAAGGTGGCCCAAGTCCTTAGGCCCTTGCACCCGCATGGGAGACCCGGAAGAAGCTCCAAGCTTTGGATCAGCACAGTTTAGGCTGTTGTGGCCCATTGGGGAATGAACCAGCGGATGGAAGACCTCTCGCTCTCTCTGCCTCTCCTTCTCTCTCTATGTAACTCTGGCTTTCAAATAAAATAAATAATTCTAAAAAAAAAAAAAAAAAGTTGGAGAAGATTTTATAATGGCATGTTAGCCAGATCAAGCTTTTTCTACCTTTTCTACCAAAATCTGCAATATAACTGGATTGAATATATTTTCTTCAAAAGCATATAGACTCTAAGCTCCAAGCATGTGCCACCACCATCTCCAGGAGCTGAAAAGCAGCATGGGATAACCCGGAGGCAGGCAGGAGCTAGCCTGAGTGCCTGGCATCCCCTGGCCAGCAGTGTTGAAAAAGAGGCTGTGGTAGGTTGGGGGCAGGGAGAAACAAGAACCTGGTTAAATAGATTTCTCCATAAATCTGAGCTGTTAAACCCTGCAAGCACAGGGCTTTAAAAAAAAAAATTGAAAAAATGAAGGCTTAAGGAACTAGAAACTTGCCTTCAATAAGTGGATGGAGTTAAAAGCCCCAAGCTACTACAGTATTCAACTAGGCACACATTGCAGCATGTATGCTCTGTGCAGTCCATAACACATTTGATGACACTGAAAACAAAGTGGCTACAGATGGAGGAAGTGGTTGTAGAGTGTACTTAGCATGAGAACTGCTTTTTTAGGAGCAGGACTTTGTGTTGGATTTAACATAAATGACAATGCATTGGAAATGAAATGAAAAAGCTTGAATTAACAAATGTTGATGCAGTTCAATGTGATATGTGATATGTGCACATTATCTAAAAAAATATCTAAGTCATTTTATATAGCAATTATGAATCCTCCCTTTGGCACCAAAACCAATAAAGGACAGATATGGCTTTTCTGAAGACTGCTTTGGAAAGGGCAAGAATAGCAATATACTCCTTAAACAAAACCTCAGCTACAGAACATGTTAGAAAGAAAGCTGAAAAATGGAAAATCAGTATAGATGTAATTACAGAGCTTTGATATGACCTGTCAGCATCCTACAACTTTTATAAAAAGCAACCAGCGGACACTGATGAGTCCCTAATTTGGTTTTCTTTTTAAAAGTCTCCAAAGACACAGCAACTTAAAACCTAATCAAGATAATAAAAAATGTTATTTAAAAAAAAAACATACAGAATCCATTCTGCTTAAATTATTTCCATTAGATAATTTTGAATAATTGCAAAGGAACCTTACAGCTTCCTTCCAACTAAGACTTCTGGTGTCACAGGCACACAGGTCTGGAATCTTCCCTAATGTTCTATTCCCTTTCCCCCTCTCTTATAAAGTATGAGTAAATCTTCCTCCATAGGATTTCCATCTCTGGGCTTTTTGATCTGTTTCTCAACTGGGATTCAGTACTTTCTTGCATTTTCTTTTTGCTTGGTTATGCTACCAATCAGATCATGATTTTTTTTTTAACAGAAAAGGGTTTTCAAAATAGCCTCTTATAACTTCACAAAATAGCCTATGAGAAATTAGTCAGTGAGAAATTCTAGGTATACAGATTTAAGAAGTAACTTGTTCTTCTATCATCTTTACTGCTTTGACCTTCATTTATACAAATAAATATCAAAAATATTTAAAATATCAGAAATAAACAGGGCCAGCATCCTTGGCATGATTTCAGGTAGCCAGGAAGGCTCCTATCCCTCCAACTTTCCTCAAAACCACAGTGTTACTCTTTGAAATTTAAGATCCCCACTAAAATGTAAACGAGTCTTGGCCTGTGGTGCCACAGGTCAAGCCTGCATCCACATGAGTGCCCCACCTCTGCTTCTGAATCAGTTTCCTATTAATGTACCCGGGAGGCAGCAGATGATAGTGTAAGTACATGGATTCCTGCCAACCATGTGGGAGACCAGGACTAAATTCTAGGACCCCAGGGACTGACATTGTGGCACAGTGAGTAAAGCCACTGCCTGCAGTGCCGGCATCCCATATGGGTGCTGGTTCAAGTCCCGGCTGCTCCACATCTGATCCAGCTCCCTGCTAATGGCTAGGGGAAGTAATGGAAGATGGTCCAAGGACTTGGGCCCCTGTACCCACATAGGAGACCTGGAAGAAGCTCCTGGTTTTGAATTGGCCCAGCTCTAGCCATTGTTGCCATTTGGGGAGTGAACCAGTGGATGGAAGATCTTTCTCTGTCTCCTCTCTCTGTAACTCTTGCAAATAAATAATCTTTAATCTTTTATTTTTTATTTTTTATTTTTTTGACAGGCAGAGTGGACAATGAGAGAGAGAGACAGAGAGAAAGGTCTTCCTTTGCCGTTGGTTCACCCTCCAATGGCCGCCACGGCAGGTGTGCTGCAGCCGGCGCTCCACGCTGATCTGAAGCCAGGAGCCAGGTGCTTCTCCTGGTCTCCCATGCGGGTGCAGGGCTCAAGCACTTGGGCCATCCTCCACTGTACTCCCGGGCCACAGCAGAGAGCTGGCCTGGAAGAGGGGCAACCGGGACAGAATCCGGTGCCCCGACCAGGACTAGAACCCGGTGTGCCGGCGCTGCAAGGTGGAGGATTAGCCTACTGAGCCGTGGCGCTGGCCTATATTTCTTTCTGTCAGCAACTCTGCCTCTCCAATAAATAAATAAAATTTTTAAAAAAGAACCTAATATCACATGGGAAGCAGGGGAGAGAGAATTAAGGGTAGGTAGGGATAGTAGGGACTCTCATTCTGCACCACAGCTAGTACCCCCTCCCTCCTCCCCATGCCATATTATGTCCCCTTAGGCCATTTTAGTGGGAGGAAAGGATACCTTAGTTTCTGCTTAGAGGAAGTTGGCCACAAGGGAAAGGAGAAAAGTCTGATTCTCTCACCTACAGGTCCCTGCTTGATGGAGTTAGGGGTGAAACCAGATGCAATGTGAGAACTCCACTTCCTCCTGCAGAGGCTGGAGAGCTCACCATGGTATTGACAGGTGCTCTACTCCTTACGGGGTTTTTTCCTGTTCCATTCTGAGAATAAACCAAGACCTAAGTGCTGCCTTGCCTTAGAGGAGAGTTGCCTCACTGAGCCTGAGACAAACCTGTTTTCTTGGCTCTTGTTTTCTGGAAGCTGAGTTCTCTGAGGGGCTTCCTAGAAAGGAAGAGGGTGAAAAAAGGACCTCTAAACCAGGAACGTGAGTGTGCCCTTGGCCCCATGCGAAAGGGAAGCCTGGACAAACACCAAGAATCTTCTGGGGATGATGAAAATGTTCTGGAATTTGATGATGGTGTTGGTGATGTGATCCTGTATACTTCACAAAATCACTGGAAGGGTACACTTAAAGTGAGTGAATTTTATGGCATATAAATAACACCTCAATTTAAAACAGTAAAAAAAGGAGGCCTGGGACTCTGGCCTCACTTACTTGCTGTGCTCCAGGTTAGTGACAGGAGGTAATGGAGAAGGAAAGCACAGCAGCTCAGAGGCTGATCCTCCGCAGTTTCCCAGCTGAGAAACCTCCCAAGAGAAGTCTTATAGCTGCAGATCCACCAGCTTACAAGGACTCGCCCCAGCTCAGATCACAGTTACTTCTCTACTATAACCAGAAGGGATCCAAGAGACTGCCCGGTATGTTTTGTTCTGTGTGAAGAATCCCAGGACCAAGGAAGAGGAAGGGAGTCCCAGGAATGTTTGCCACTGATTGTACCATGAGCTGGGTAGGGCACTTGCTCTTATTTAAAGGAAGAATTCTGAGTAGTGGGTAGAATGGCCCCCCTCAAGAGATCCACACTCAAATCCCTGGACCTATGAATCTGATATATTACATAGCAAAAGGGACTCTGCATATATAATTAAGGTTATGAACCTAAAAATGGGAAGATGATCCTGCATTATCCAGGTGGGCCCAATTTCATCATATGAACTCTAAATGCAGAGGACTTTGTCTAGCTAGTGGCAGAGGGGTGCAGCAAAAGAAGTCTGAGGGTCCAAGCACAAGGAGGAGTTGACAAGCTATGCTGGCTCTGAGATGTTGCAGCCTGTGTATGAGGAGAGGGGAGAGGCCTCCAAGAGTAATGGGTGGCCCCCAACTAATCATCATCAAGGAAATAGGACTGTCTTAAAACCACAAGGCAGGGGTTCTGCCAACAACCCAAATGTGCTTGGAAGGGGAAATCATCCCCAGAGCCTCTAAAAAGGGTCACAATACTGTCAACATCTTGATTTCAGTACTGTGACACATTCAGCAGAGAATCCAGCCAAGCCCACCCAGACTTCTGCCTACAGAACTGTGAGATCAGTGTTATCTTAAGCCACTAGATGTGTGTTTAATTCATTACAGCAGAAAACAAAAACGAATTCAATACAGCACTTTTTATACAGTTGACTGTGAGGACTAAAATTCGTAACCGCCATTCTACCACTCTCCCACCAGCATCTAGGATAGTATTAGAAGCCCTGAAGGTTTAATAAATACACCAGCACTGCAGTGTAGTGGATAAAGTGCTGGCATCCCATATGGGCGCCAGTTCAAGTCCTGGCTGCTCCACTTCCAATCCAGCTCTCTGGAATGGCCTGGTAGAAGTGGTAGAAGATGGCCCAAGTCCTTGGGCCACTGCACCCTCATGGGAGACCTGGAGGAAGCTCTTGGCTCCTGGCTTCGGACTGGCACTGCTCCAGCTGTTGCAGCCAATTGGGGAGTGAACCAGTGGATGGAAGACCTCTCTCTCTCTCTGCCTCTCCTTCTCTTTCTGTGTAACTCTGCCTTTCAAATAAATAAAGCTTAAAAAAAAAAAAAAAAGAATACAGTGCTTTCAACTTCACCTTATATGCTAGACTTGGGCTAAGAAACCTAGATTTCAATTCTCAATATAAACACTGACCAAGTCAAGATTCTGGTCTTATTTTTATATCCACATAAGGACCCTAAATAAGTCTTTCTGAATGTTTCCATGTCTGCAATATGTATGAGTCAGCCAAGATTTCTGAGCTTGTTACAATTCCATGAATTGAAACTGAAAGGTAGACCTTGTTATATGGAATGAGCAACATACATTCACTTAGTTGGTCACCCAGCACTTTGACTTATCAGAGAGCTCATCCTGAGAGTATACTCTGAAGTTGTCTAGGACTGCAGGACCCAGTACTGGAAGTCTTTGGTATCCAAGTTCAGTAGTTTAGGTCCCAAAGGATAAAGCAGAAGTTAGATCTGATTTTGTACTAACATGTGTTCTTCTTAGACAAATTATGCAATTATATAATCAGGTATCACTGAAAATATGGTGGAGGGTGGGTATTTGGAATGGTAATTAAGATGCTCTTGGGACATCCACATCTTACACTGGAGTACTTGGGATCGAGTTCCAGGTCCACTGCTATGCTATGCTATGCTAATTCTAGCTTCCAGCTAAACCATACCTCCAGAGGCAGCAGGGGATGGCTCAAATGATGTGGGTCCCTGCCACCCACATGGGGGACATAAGCTGTATTTCTAGTTCCCAGCTGTTGTGTGCATTTGGAGAGTGAACCAGAATATTTTTTTTAAACTCATCTTTTTTTTTTTTTTTTAAAGATTTATTTATTTGAAAGGCAGAGATACAGAGAGGCAAAAGTAAAGAGAGGTCTTCCATCCGATGGTTCACTCCCAAGATGGCCACAACGGCTGGAGCTGCACCAATCCAAAGCCAGGAGCCAGGAGCTTCCTCTAGGTCTCCCAAGCGGGTTCAGCGGCCCAAGGACTAGAGCCATCTTCCAGTGATTTTCCAGGCCATAGCAGAGAGCTGGATCAGAAGTGGAGTAGCCAGGACTTGAACTGATGCCCACATGGGATACTGGCACTGCAGGCAGCAGCTTTATCTCCTATGCCACAGCGCCAGCACAGTGAACCAGAAGATTGGAACTCTCTACATGTCCCTGCTTCTCAAATAACAAACAAATAAGTGATTAGAAAGAGAGAAAGAAAACATGGTTGGACAGGTGTTTACCTATTACCCAGGTTACTATATATTTTAGTGCCATTCATTTGCAGGTGCTTGATAAGTTAATATGTTACTGTTATCATTTCTTATTTTAATCCTCTCGGCATACCAGCAATAGTTGACCAAATCACCTACATCAGCAGTTTTCAACCTTCCTTCTTCAGAGACACATGTGACAAATGTGACCATAGGGTACTTTAAAAAGTTTGTGGAGGGGCCAGCGCTGTGATGTAGTAGGCTAAGCCTTTGCCTGTGGTGCCAGCATCCCATCTGGGTGCTGGTTTGTGACCTGGCTGCTCTTCTGTTCCAGCTCTCTACTAATGGCCTGAGAGAGCAGTGGAGGATGGCCCAAGTGCTTGGGCCCCTTCACCAGCATGGGAGACCTGGAAAAAGCTCCAGAATCCTTGCTCCAAATCTCTGTTGTGGCCATTTGGAGAGTGAACCAGAGTATGGGAGACTTCTCTGTCTCTCCTTTCCTCTGTCTGTAACTCTGCCTCTAAAATAAATAAATAAAATATTTTTAAAAATGTACATCATCTTTTAATTCTATTTTCCACAAACTTTTTATTTTTGGACAGGCAGAGATAGACAGTGAGAGAGAGAGAAACAGAGAGAAAGGTCTTCCTTTGCCGTTGGTTCACCCCCCAAGTGGCCACTACGGCTGGTGCACTGTGCCGATCCGAAGCCAGGAGCCAGGTGCTTCCTCCTGGTTTCCCATGCAGGTGCAGGGCCCAAGCACTTGGGCCATCCTCCACTGCACTCCCGGGCCACAGCAGAGAGCTGGACTGCAAGAGGAGCAACCAGGACAGAATCCGGCACCCCAACTGGGACTAGAACCCGGGGTGCCGACACCGCAGGCGGAGGATTAGCCTAGTTCCACAAACTTTTTGAAGTACCTTTGTATATCTAGAGTTGTCTGCAACTCTAGGAGCTCGACTCTGACTCTTTAAAAATTTCTTTATTTTATTATTTGAAAGGCAGAGAGAGAGAGAGAGACAGAGAGAAAGACAGAGAAAGATCTTCCACCTTCTGGTTTACTCCCCAAATGTCTGCAACAGCTAGGCAAAGGTGAGGCTGAAGCCAGGAGCCTGGAACTCAATCCAGGAGCCTGGAACTCAATCTGGGTCACTTACATAGGTGGCAGAAACCCAGCTACTTGAGCCACCACCTGCTGCATCACAAGGTATGCGTTAGCAGGAAGCTGAAATTGAGAGTAGAGTTGGGACTCAAATTTAGCACACCAATATGGAATGCAGGTGTGGCAAGTAGTACCCTAACCACTGTGTCAAATGCCTGCCCCTGGTATTCTATTGTTTTAAAAAAGATTTATTTATTTATTTGAAAGTCAGAGTTAGACAGAGAGAGAAGGAGAGGCAGAGAAACAGAGAGCAGCCTTCCATCCACTGGTTTATTGCTTTCTCAGGCCATAGCGAAAGCTGGATCAGAAGTGGAGTAGCTGGGACTCGAACTGGCGCCCATATGGGATGCCAGCACTCAGGCAGTGGCATTACCTGCTACTCCACAGCGCCGGCCCTGGTATCCTATTTATTAGCAAGCAATTATTTGCAATAGTCATCCTCTGCTTTGGGATACAGTAATGTATTTTGACAGGATGGTTGATAAGCAACCCTCTTGAGACTAAAGTGCTCAGAGCAGAGAACCAGGAAACAATGATAAGAGAGAAACCCCCAATTATTCTCCCCTCAGACAACTGTGGGGTAATATAAACCAGCTCTCTATTATGAGTCTACTAACAAGTATTCTTTTTGGAGGTAACTAATCTACTATGATCCGTAAAGCCACTGGCATTCTAGCAATGTTTCATACTCTGCACCCAAATTTGAAGATTTAGTTCCCTTCTTAAAGAAAAATAACTCTACATGTGTTTTAAATATGAGCAGGCTGAGGCAAGCATTTGTCCTGGAGATTAAGTTGCCTGCATTCCATGCCAGAGTACTTGGGTTCAAATCCCAGCTTCACTCCTGATTCCACCATTCTGCAAATGTGTACCCTGGGAGGCAGCAGGTGATGATTCAAGTAGTTGGGTTCCTGCCACACATGGGAGGCCCAGATTGAGTTTCTGTTTCTAGACTTCAGCATGGTCAATTCTGGTCATTGTGGGCATTTGGGAACTGAACCAATGGATTGGAGTTCTAGCTATTTATCTATCTCTCTACAGCCTAAAGAAACAGAACAAAGTAGATAAAAATTTTAAAAATAGGGGAGAGCATTTGGTACAGTGATTAAGATGTCACCTGGGACACCCTTGTTCCATATGGTAATGCTTGGGTTAAATTTTGCCTCCGCTTCCAATCCAGCTTCCTGCTGATGAGCCAGCTGGTAATGACTCAAGCAGTTGGATCTCTGCCACACACATGGGAGACTCAGACTGAGTTATCTGGGCTGATCCAAACCCAGCTGTTACAGGCACTGGAGAGTGATAGAAGAAGATGGAAGATCTCTCTCTGCCTCTGCCTCTCTCTTTGCCTTTCAAATAAGCAAAAAAGAAAAATTTAAAAAGAAAAATAAATAGAAAGAGGCTATCTAGTACATGGCTGAGTGAGAGTATAGGTTCCAGAACACTAGCTCTCAGCTGGAGATAATTTTGCTGCCTGGGAGATACTAGAAATGTCTGGAGACATCTTTAGTTGTTAAAAAGTGAAAGGGGGATGTTCCTAACAAATAGTAGGTGGAGGTCAGGAAAGCTGCTCAGACATTCTGCACTGAACGAGACAGCCCCCTACAACAAAGAATTACCTACAAAACGCCAATTGTGACAAGACTGAGAAATCAGGCTCTATAGCCAGCTTGCCTGGGTTTCAAATCAGTTACAATCTATGTAGCCTTTCCAAGTTCCTTACCATGTTTGTGTTTACTGAGTGTCTTCACAAGTAAAATTACAATAACCACCCTATGGATTGGATTTGTTGTTAGCATAAAATAAGTTGAACAATAAAGGAACTAATAAGAACAATATCTTGAATGAAGCAAGTACTTCACAAATGTTTACTTTTGTTACTATTATATGTATTGAAAAAGACTGAGAAGAAATACAGCAAAATCTTAACTGTGGTTGTCTCCAGGTGGTAGGATGATGCCATTTTTATTTATTATACCTTTAAATTGCTCTGTAGTTTCCAAATTTTTGAGAACTCTGTTTATATTAATCTAATATCCAAAAACACGTGTGTTTTAAAGAATGCAGAGGAAAGTACTTTGCTTGTGATATAGTGGAAAGAGCACAGAATTAGAAAGAACTAGACTCAGATACTGGCTTTACTTGCTGTTTGTGAATTCAAGCAGGTTAATCTGTCTGAGCTTCAATTTCCGAAGCAGAAATCAGGGCTAACAGTGCAGATCACAAAGGTTGCTATGAGGATTAAACATGACAGATACCTGTGCCCAGCAGAGTTGGCAGGATGAAAGGCTTCAGGAGATGACTGCTTTAAAGGATAAGACAAGAGAAAACGATTCTAAAACAGGCAATACATATTCATCATGCTTTTTAAACATTCTCTTGGAGAGGACAACTCCAATTTCCTTCCACTTTTTGCCTTGGTTCATGCAGGAGAAACTGCATCCCAAATCTGGTTCTTTTCTCTATTGCCTCCTACCCCTACATATACACTCTCAGAAGGGATTTCAACATTCTACTGGCAGAGTCTGACTCATTGGGCAGGGTGCACCAGCAGGCCAGTTACTGCGTGTGAAAGGCAGCACTCAGTCATCACTTTCTCATATCTTTCCCCTGTGCTCACTGTACCTCTTCTTATGTCCTTATGTCCTCTATCCTAGCACCCAAGTTGAAAATATACTAGGCAAACACTCTCTCCTCAAGAGGAAGCCTCTCCACTTTTTCCTCTCTCTCTTGTTTTACTGTTTCCTGTTTAGCTGGTTGAATATATTATCCCTTTTTATTTTTTTATTAAAGCTTTATTATTTGAAATGCAGTGTAACAGAGAGGGAGAGACACAGAGGAAGACACACACAACACAGAGAGATCTTCCATCCGCTGATTCACTCCCCAAATGGCTGTGATGGCAAAAGATGGGCCAGGCTGAGGCTGTGAGACAGGTGCTTCATGTAGGTCTCCCACTTGGGTGCAGGCATCTAATTACTTGGACCATCTTCTGCTGCTTTCCCAGTCACATTAGCAGGGAGCTAGCTCAGAAGTGGAATAGCTGAGTACATTGTCCTTTTTCAGATTGGAGAGGGTTGAGTAGGAAGCCCAGGTAGGCTTCCAGATCTCCCCTGTACACTGGCCCCACCTGCCCAAGAAGCCCTGAGTGCGTGGTAGGTGTGCAGCACTTGGCTGGCCAGTGTGCACTTTCAGTATAGCTGTTGTTTCTCCCGTTCAGCTCCACTAATAGATAACATTGGGGATAAGGAGGATGGGTGGTAGGATCCAAGGACCCACACCTCATCTACAACCACCAATCTTCCTCTACGTAATGCCTTAGATTAAAAAATAATAGCATGGGGCCAGAGCCGCAGCTCACTTGGCTAATCCTCCGCCTTGCGGCGCCGGCACACCGGGTTCTAGTCCCGGTCGGGGCACTGGATTCTGTCCCGGTTGCCCCTCTTCCAGGACAGCTCTCTGCTGTGGCCAGGGAGTGCAAAGGAGGATGGCCCAAGTGCTTGGGCCCTGCACCCCATGGGAGACCAGGAGAAGCACTTGGCTCCTGCCATCAGATCAGCGCGGTGCGCCGGCCGCAGCGGCCATTGGAGGGTGAACCAACAGCAAAGGAAGACCTTTCTCTCTGTCTCTCTCTCACTGTCCGCTCTGCCTGTCAAAAATAAATAAATAAATAAATAATAGCATGGATTATGTTTGTATATAAGCCTAGTCAGCCTGCTGATTTGAATTCAAATCCTAAGCAAGCTGTCAAAATGCCCTGAGAGAATCTTTTGCATTTAGGTCCTAACTCCTATGGTTGCAGTAAAGCAGTCTGACATGATCCCAGGTTTGGGGCAGGCATTTGGCCTAGTAGTTATGATGCCTGTGTCCCATGTCTGATTACCTGGGATCAATACCCAGTTCTACTCCCAATTCCAGCTTCCTGCTAATGCAAACCCTAAGAGGCAGTGGTGATGCCTCAAGCTGTTGGGTTCCTATCACAAAGACCTAGGTTGAGTTCCTGGCTCCTAGGATCAGCCTGGCCCAGACCTGGCTGCTATGGGCATTTGGGGGAATGAACAAGCAGATGGGAGCACTCATTCTTTCTCTCTCGTGTGTGCTCTCTTTCAAATTAATTGTCTCTCTAAAATTCCCTAGGGAGGAGTCCTGTGGTGTAGTGAGCTCTCTGTGCAAAGTTCTAGGACTAGGAGCCAGAATGGATAGAAGACTGCTTGCGGCAGCAGGTGGTCTCCTCAAAACATTCATTCTCAACCCAAGGTGAACTGTTTTAGTGTTGGAAAACGGTGCCAGGCAAGACATATTTGGCAGCTGAGGTTGTTAGGGCTACCTCTATCTAGACAGAAATAAAAAATATCAGGGGAACTTCTTAATACAAATTCTAAATACAAATATCAGGGGGATTAGTGATCCCCAGGAAAGAATTTACGGGAACTTCCTAAACTCCAGCTTGCTGCTGCTCCAGGGCCAGACTAACATTTATAAACTTTAAGAATAATTTTGGGGCTGGTGCTGTGTCGTAGCAGGTTAAAGCACTGGCCTGAAGTGCTGGCATCCCATATGGGCGTCGGTTCGAGTCCCGGCTGCTCCACTTCCTATCCAGCTCTCTGCTATGGCCTGGGATAGCAGCAGAAGATGGCCCAAGTCCTTGGGCCCCTGCACTCGCATGGGAGACCAGGAGGAAACTCCTGGCTCCTGGCTTTGGATCGGCACAACTCCAGCAGTTGCAGCCATCCAGGGAGTGAACCATTGGATGGAAGACCTCTCTCTCTCTCTCTGCCTCTCCTCTCTCTGTGTAACTCTGACTTTCAAATAATTAAATAAATCTTAAAAAAAAGAAAAAAGAATAATTTTAACTGATGCCAAACAAATCTGCTCTTACCACACATTTGCCTTTTCATTGTCCTCCCTATAAACAAATGGGAAACAAATAGGCAGGGGGCCCCCACACTGGCACCAGGATAATGTTGTCAGACTCTTGAGTCTTCCCATACGGAGCACTCACCATACACCAAGCCTGGTGCTAAACACTAGAAATCCAAAGATGGAAGGTTACTGCCCCTTCTCACAAGCAGCTCTCTTCAGGTGACTGTCATAGCATACAAAGTATTACTCCTCCCAGGGAAATGCAGATTTCAGCAGGGATCAAAGGCTTAAGCTAAAACACTAAAGTTCAATATTATAAGGGAAACAGTGACTTCAATGTGCAATGAAACCCTGAAAAAAAATGCCTTGTTTTTGTGAAGAATTTCACAAATTTGAGATTCCTGTCCCTTTTCTTTCTCTTTGTATCTTGGACTTGGCAAATTCTCTTAGTTTATTCACATTTTGTCAGAATGTGATCAGTTGGAGCTGGTGCTGTGGTACTGCAGATTAATGCCCTGGCATGAAGCGCCGGCATCCCATATGGGCGCCAGTTTGAGACCCGGCTGCTCCACTTCCTATCTAGCTCTCTGCTACGGCCTGGGATAGCAGCAGATGGCCCAAGTCCTTGGGCCCCTGCACCTGCGTAGGAGACCCAGAGGAAGTTCCTGGCTTCGGATCAGCGCAGCTCTGGCCGTTGTGGCCAACTGGGGAGTAAACCATCAGATGGAATACCTCTCTCTTCCTCCCTCCTTCCCTCTCTCCCTCTCTCTCTCTCTCTCTCTCTCTCTGCCTTTCCTTTACTCTGTGTAACTCTGACTTTCAAATAAATAAACAAATCTCTAAAAAAAAAAAAAAGGAATGTGATCAGTCTTCTTTTATTGTCAAGAGTCAGAGGAAATGTACACAAACAAAAGGGAGGAAATCTGTATATCTCAGAAATTTCTAGCAGTTAAAAAAAATAAGCAAGTTTCCTCTTTTACCCTTAAAAATCTAAAATAACTTGCAAAGGGAGATCTAGTTGCTTATTTTAAGGTATGATAATATTATTTTAAAATAACAAACTAGTTGGTTTGCTAATATAGTTAGTGTGAATAATTCTGGAGATTTTTATTTATTTATTTTGAGGACCAGGTAAGAGATTTTAAAGATAATACATTTAGGCTGCTCTTAATACCAGAATAGAAGAGTGTTTCTAGGTTGAATTTAAAAAAAAAAAAAATTAACCATGATGTAATTCTAGATTTCCTTTAGACATCATTTGGTCACCATAGTAACACAGTGTTTTACTACCAGATCTGTACAGCAGAGAGAAAAAGAATAAGCAATTACTTACTGGGTTATCTGGGAGTACAGAATGTGACTACTGAGGTGATTCAGGATTAATACAGATTTCAGTGAGGATCTGTTTTAGCCAGGCAAGATGATTCAATCTCTACTCAGCTGAACAAAATTTGTAGCCACATCAGCTGTTGACATTATTTGGAATAACAGAAGCAGGCAAGCAGCATATCTCAGTGGTTAAGAGCATTGGCTTTGGGGTCAAGTTTCTTTGGTCCAAATTCTGGTTCTACTATTTACTAGCTGTCTAACCTATAAAGTTTCCTAACTTCTCTGTGCCTCAGTTTCTTCATGTCTAAAGCATGAGTAATAATACCCCCCCAAAGGGTTGTGGTAGGGATTAAATGACTGATTATTTGTGGTTTGAACAGTGCCTCACACATAGAAAGAATTTAGTTTATAAGTACTTGTTAAAGAAAGAGATAATAAAATTTAAATTTTCTAACTCCTATCTTTTGCTGGGTAGAAACAGTGAGAGAGATCAACATCTGAATCCATGGCAGATTGTTCCAGGCTATAACTTTGGTATATTCTTTTGAGAACTTCCCTGGTGCCTTCCTGGTAGCAGTTCTCTAAGATGTGGAATCCTGTGGCAGTGTGCTGGCTTAAACCAGAGCAGGGGGCAATCACAAGCACTCCTGGTTCCGGGAACATCAGAAGGCAAATGATCACAAAGCACAAAGGAACAGCCTGCCTGCCTAGTCAGGCTCCCTAAGCCACTGCCAACAACCTCTGGGAACATGGGCAGAGAACAAGCAGCTGAAAAAGGAGGAAGACAGGTTTTATGGCAGTGACAAAGAAATCTAGTTGGTTTTGGTAATTTTCCCTTTCTTTCTAGGATTCAAAGGAAAAAAAAACCTTTTTATCAATAGTGCTTTGTCTTCTCATTATACACAATTTCCATCTAATTTCTCTTCAACAAGCACTTACTCTGGCCAATTATTCATTTTATAGAACTACCTAGGCATCTTTTCTGGACCTGGAACAAATCTAAAGCATTTAAGCCAGGACAAAATTTCCAAACTGCCTGGGAAAAAAAGAAGGCATTTTGTCACCTGAGCCAAAATCCAGCAGCAGTACCCGGGGATCTCCATCACGTACCTTCATCTGGACTTAATCTCATGGATGGTCTCCTTGGGTCTTCTTGCTGAGGTGCAGTCCTTACATAGGAGTTTGGAGAATGCCATAAACCACCAGGAAAGCTTGGGAACATATTCATAGCTGTCTTCTGTCTTCCCCTTGGCTTACAGCAGGCTTCCTGGTAGGGAGACAAGATGACGCTGTGCAGGGTTGACTGTTAAACCATCTTTCCGCCCCCAGCCCCACTCTTGGTGCCCCTCCCTTCTCCTTTTCAAGGCTCTGGAATGTGTCACATGGGAAATGGATCATGTGGCTAAAGGGGAGAATGTGGCCATGTTCTCTCTCCCTCCCCCCACTTTCTCTTTCAGGAGCAAGGCAGCAGAAATCTCCGATCTGATTGGCTCTGACTAAAAATCTCCATATGAAAAGGGGAAGATTCAACCACCCCAACCTCCAGCTTTCTCCACTTTCTTCTTCTGTTTTTTAATCTGAAGATTTTATCCTGAGCGTTCAGAGTTGCTCGAAAAGGGAAGAAGATGCTTTCTCACCAAACCTCCTCTTGCTTTCTTACCATCAGTATCCTGACCTGGCACGGTGTTTCTCAGTCTCTCTGCGAAGCCCCCTTAGGGCATTTGGACAATCGCATGTTCAGCACCACGGACAGCATTACACCCCCTTCAGGGCTCCTAGAGTCATTTGCCTATTTCACTCTCAGGTAAATAAAATATTTAAAAAATATTTTCCTAAGGTCTCATATCTAACTAGAAATAACAGCATATATTTAGGGCTTCGGCTTACTGTACTACAAATTTATTGTTACCTTTTAAACATAAATCAATTTTGATTTTGATTAAATCCTAAAGACTATCTGACATCTATCTCCCTGTCCCCACCTAATCACCCATCCCCATGCTTTAAATACACTCTGTTTTGGGGGTGGTGGGATAAGATCTTTATAACATAGTTTACTGTTTGCCCATATCTATACCCATGGGAAAAACCACAGGAATGCACAGGAATTCTTGGGAAAACCAGTCTGGAGGTCTTCAGCCCCAAAAGTAGGCCTCAGGCAGGGTTGAGTGCCTGGTAGGAGCTGTTTTGTGCGGGTCTATCCTGCTTGCTGACGTCCTGGTTGCCATGGTGCTAGGTAACTGCTGAAGGGGATGATTTCTTTCAAAATCAGTCACCATGGGACCCTGCTGACTAAAGAAAGGAAGGGGAGAAAGGTCTGAATTGCTGAGGACAGCTTTCAATTAGCATTTTCAGTGCCAAATTTACCTAATGGGCTCTTTCTTTCCAGAATTGTGGCTGATCTTAAATGTTGAAAGGATTCTAGGAATTAGGATAGATCTGTTATTGTATCTCCCTTCACCCTCAGCAAGGACCACGGAATGCATTCTCAGAGGGCTGGGGGGAACACAAGAAGATACTACCGCCCCTTGGGGTAGGACTTCTGACTTTTGGAACTTTTAGGACTAAGTCCTAAGTCCTAACCGGGGTGGGGTGGGGGGTACATTAGAACTGGAAGGTTAATACTAGGAACAGTTTATGAATGCTTTACAACTTTATGGGATAAAAGATAAATATTTTTGAATATGAATTGCTAAATGATTTTAGATATTTGGATAGCACTTGGATTACTTTAAATCGGGAATTTAAACTAACTATACACTTGTCTCATAACACTAACATGTAATTGTTCCTGAGAATCCTAACCAAGGCAATTCTTAAAAAAAAAAAAAAAAATTGTTTGAAAGGCAGAATTACAGAGAGAGAAGGGAAGACACAGAAAGGGACAGATTTTCCATCTGCTGATTCACTCCTTAGATAGCTGCAATGGCCAGGGCTGGGCCAGGCCAAAGGCAGGAGCCTGGAATTCTATCTGGATTTCCTACATGGATAGCAGGGGCCCAAGCACCTGGGCCATCTTCCATTGCTTTCCCAAGTACATCAGCAGGGAGCTGATTAGAAGTGGAGCAACCCATATGGGATGCAAGCCCCAAGGCAATTTTGAATATGTACTTTTTCTAGAAGAAATCCTGACTTTCAAGGTGCAGAAAGGCCAACTTTGTAAAAGAAGAGGTGGCACAGAGATGCAGGAGTGTAATTTCCAAAAGTAACACTCCTTCCTGGCTCAATAGTCACAGCTTAAGATTCCATTCCTCCTAGTGCTTTAGCAGAAGAGTCAGATTTATTCAGCTTTTCTATGAGATACAGAGAAATTCAATTCTTAATTCTAACACTTGCCACCTTCAGGAAATTGAATTATCAAAAAAGTTGGATACGTGTTTGGAGAAATTCTTAGAGAATCATCAGATGGTGACTTGGATATGATCTCTCCTCTAGGTCAATATTATTACTACTATCAAGAACAAGTAATATTTAAGCATGTTTCAGGTATTTACATACATGATGTTGAAAATGAACCCCTATTCAAATGTCCTTAAAAGCACAGGCAAGATATCACCAGGACCCAGCCTCCCACTCTTAGCCCTAGGTGTCCTTGCCTGTCCTTTAGAATCAAAAGGAACTCACTGAATTGAGTGACACAGCTGGCCCTACAATTTTCTAACCACCAGGCTGGCGCTGTGGTGTAGCGGGTAAAGCCACCTGCAGTGCCGGCATCCCATGTGGGCACCAGCACAGCTCCGGCCATTGCGGCCAGCTGGGGAGTGAACCAGTAGATAGAAAACCTCTCTCTCTCTCTCTCTCTCTCTCTCTCTCTCTAGCTCTTTCAAATAAATAAATAAATCTTTTTAAAAAAAATGTTCTAACCACCAGACTCAAGAAGTAATTTGCTTCTCCAGTAGGTAAAATTTGTTGGCCAATATTGTCCTGAGGGGTTTGTTTGGGGAATTCCAGGTTCAGGCAGGTAAATTCCAGGTCTGGGGCAGAAGGTCACCACCATCTGACCACCATAAAAATTCTCTAAAGAGCACAGTATCACTACCAATCAAAGGAATGTCACAAGCACCACTGATCAACCAGGAGCTTGGGCACAAACTGAAGAACATGCACCTCTTACCCCAATTTCACTCTATAAGAACCTTCGTCTTTAATTCCTCTGGGAGCCTGGGAATTAAGCCTTAGCTGCTTCATTCCTTGCTCTGCACTTTGTGAGTATCTACTTTTTACCGCCACCTCAATGTCAGTGATTGGTTTCTGTATGATAGGCAAGTGGACTCAGGTTTGAGGGTTCTACAGCAATACCTTCAACTAGTTTGGGAGAACTGTTCTGCAATACTGTCATTTAACCCAACAATCAGCCCAAGGAGACTTGCATTATTATTACCATTTCTGTTTTACTGATGAGGAAACTGAGGCTCTGCATCTTCTGTGGCTGTCTGGGCCAACAGCAAGCCTACAACAGCATCGTCAGAGGCAAGGCAATTATTCCAAGGCTTTCCAGTTCCCTTGGAGCATGGATGTTGAACTAACAGTCAGAGGGCTTGGCACAGACACCACAGCAGGGGTGAAGGGAAAACTGAATCTGCAAGAAGAGGTAGCCAATACTCCCTAGATTTGATTAAAGCCACGGTGGTTTCAACTTCTGAACTATTGATATTCCTAAAAACCACAGTTGTCCTACTAGAAAGTACCTTGTCTCTTAGAAGTATAAATTCCTGACCCAGATGTGCCAACTCTCCTATTCTAAGGAATTGGCTATTCACTGAAAAGCTACAATGACAGGCTTGAGCCTGACTTTTTTCATCTGTCAGCACCAACAAAACCACACAGGTGGTCAAACAGCCACATCTACCCTGACAGGCTATGGGAAAAGGTATACCAACCTACTGGAGGCAAACACCCACATGCATACACGTCAAAGTCATATCTTGATGCTTTTCCCCAACAAATGCAACACAGCAGTGGTAAAAGTTCATCCCATCCCATTACCACCATCGTCCCTATTGATGGCCCAAGTTTCACCAAATGGTAACCCAATAAAGACATTATCATCTGTCTAGCCTGAGCTACATCAAAGGACCAGCCTGACAGGCTAAGAATCTTCCATCTCTGGCAAATCTTGTCTATTCCTGACTTCCGTGTTAGTGACTTTACATTGACCTTTCCCAAACCAGGATGCTTACTCCATTCATATCACAGTGGCCTCCCTCCTGAATAAAGCTCATTATGCCCTGTCCATCCGCTATGTCAAACTCTAGCCTTCAGTCCTTCAGAAATTTTTCAAATATATAACTATCCAGATTAGGAGGGCTTAAATCAAAAATTAATTTACTTTCACCTAGAGGGAACTTGTAAAGCAGTGGTTCTCAACCTTAGTTGCACAATAGGGAGCTTTAAAAACCACTGAGGTGTGGGTCTTAATTCCAGAAATTCTGATTTAATGGGTCTAGGGTCAAGTTTGGGCATTAGGATTTTTAAAAGCTTCCCAGATGACTCTAAGATAGAGATCCTGTCTTAAGGCTCTGTATATCTCAATGGACCTCTGTTCTACAAAGCATCCACAATTCAGTGTCTAGGTGACATGCATAAGTGTGGTGGGAGGCTCAAGCAAAAAACTCATATACTGATCATATACTGTACCCTAAGTTCTATGCTGACAACTTATGTAGTCTTTTCAACAGTACATCACTCTATCATTATAATAACCCTACGAAACAGACACTGTTACCTTTATTTACAGTTGGGAAACTGGGGTTCAGAAAGTTCACACAGACTGATTGGCAGACCCAAAATTTTGATTCCCAATTCTGCACAATTTCAATGGCCTCATTTTGAGATGTCAAGCCTCTTAAAGCTGGATAATCTCACTCTACAAGAAGACATCCAGGCTTCAACCCAGAAATCCTATTCTACTGCATCTATGGATTTTCCCTGCAGCATTTTCTCTTGAATTCCACACATACAGTCCAGCTGACAGGGTACATTCTAGGCTGTTAAAATGAAGTCAAGTTGAATAGGGAGAACTTCTTGATAGGATACTTAACAAGTCTATACACTAATACCTGGATTCTTCTCCATCATTGCTAATGCCAATCCGGATTTAGTTTTTACTACAGATAAAGCTATATTGCCTACCAACAGCCATTCCTTTTGGGGCTTAGAATTATGTACTCCATGAGCATTCCTCTGCTTTATACTCCAGAAAGTACACACAGAATCAAAATATACTGAGTAGGTGCTGATACTAAAGTGTAGCGGGTTAAGTCACCAGCTGCAGTGGTGTCAGCATCCCAGTGGGCTCTGGTTCAAGTTCCGGCTGCTCCACTTCCAATCCAGCTTTCTGTTAATGCACCTGAGAAAGCAGTGGAGGGGCTGGTACCGCAGCTCACTAGGCTAATCCTCCGCCTGTGGCCCCAGCACACCGGGTTCTAGTCCCGGTCGAGGCGCCAGATTCTGTCCCGGTTGCTCCTCTTCCAGTCCAGCTCTCTGCTGTGGCCTGGGAGGGCAGCGGAGGATGGCCCAGGTGCTTGGGCCCTGCACCCCATGGGAGACCAGGAGGAAGCACCTGGCTCCTGGCTTCGGATCGGCACAGCATGCCAGCTGTAGCAGCCACTTGGGGGGTGAACCAATGGAAGGAAGACCTTTCTCTCTGTCTCTCTCTCTCTCTGTCTAACTCTGCCTGTCAAAAAAATTAAAAAAAAAAAAAAAAAAAAGAAAAGAAAAGAAAGCAGTGGAGGATGACCCAAATAAGAGACCCAGAAAAAGCTCTTATAGCCTGGCTTCAGCCTGGCCCAGCCCTGACCGTTGTGGCTGTTTGGGGAGTGAGCCAGCAAATGGAAGATCTCTCTCTGTAACTCTGCCTTTCAAATAAGTATATAAATAAATAATCTTTAGAGAAAAAAATATACTGACTAATTTGCATAGGATGCTGCCAATGTCAAGATGGACTCTAACACCTAGTGAAATAGGAAGCTAGAGTTTAGAATTAAGTACTTAAACATATGTGTGTATATATATGTATATATATATACATATATATATATTTGAAAGGCAGAGTGACAGAGGAAAGACAGAGAGAGAAAAAGAACAGTTCCATCCCCTGAATCACTCTCCAAATGCCACAACAGCTAGGGCTAGGCGGGGCTAAAGCCAGGAGCCAGCAATTCCATCCAGATCTCCAACACGGGCGGCAGGAACTCAAGTACCTGAGCCATCATCCCTGCTTCCCTATGCATTAGCAGGGAGCTGGATTGGAAGTGGAGTAGCCAGAACTTGAGCCAGCACTCCATTATAGCAAACGGGCACCCCAAGCAGTGGCTTAACCTGCTGCACCACAACTGCCACCCCTAAAAGCAGGAACGTTTGTAATGTGCCAGGGATACATCTGAATAACTAGCGGCTACACTCCACGTTTCATTCCGTGAAATCCACATTTCATTCTGGCTGAGAGGTGGGGTTGGTGGGAGGTAGCAGGGGCCAGAGAGACTCCATCGGAAAGAGGACACTTCAGCTGGATGGTACCTCGAAGATGCTGCAGAGCAAAATCCAATGCTTGTGCAGCTGTCCCATGGGTCCTGGGAGGAAAAGGAGTCAGATTAGTCAGATCCCTCACGTATGCTCTCAAATTCCTGACACCTATCCCCACAGTAGCCCTTGCTCAGGACTATGGCTTTTAAAATCTTCCTTGTTCCATTCATTTCCCAATTCCTACCTGTGTGCCATATATCATGGACAAAATGTGTGGCATTTCTGCCTTCCAGTTCATAAACATGTACAGCTACTTAAAAAGAGGAAAAAAACTCCCTCTACTGTCAATAGTTTTACCTCTCACGTATGCTACCAGAGTACCTCGAAATATTCATAGAAAATGGAATTAAAAGATAAGTTTATTGTGCAAAAAGAAAATCTGAAAACCACACATAAGTTTTTAATATATATTTTCCATGAACTTTTTGAAGGGCCCCCATAGGTATGGATTTCAAAATTTTTTTCTCCACAATAAACTTATTTTTAATTCCATTCCCCACGAACTTTTGGAAGAAGCCTCGTTTACGACACATCTTCCCATCATTACCTTAGTTCACGTTCACAGTCCTCTCTCTTGGTCTGCTGAAGGGAAAAAAAAAATTCTTTGGCTCCTCACGTTTATCTCTTTTTGTGTCGCTCCCAGAGTCATCTTTTCAAACAACGAAAACTTCATCACTCATTTTTAAAACCGTGACCGGCTGTCCCACTCCTGTTTGTTCACTTGATTCGCTGAAACCTCTCAGCGTCCAGAGCCAGTATAAAAACGGAAAGAAAGGAAGACATTCAAGTATGTGGAGTTTTGACTGCAAAATCTCGAAGGCTGTGGGGCTGTGCACTTGAATCCATCGGGTCAACGTGACGCACGTTTCCTGAACACCAAACTTGGCTGCCTCTTAAAACCCGGCAGAAGATGTTTGAAATTTTTGCGCGCTAAAGGCCAAGCGCATGCGCGAAAGGCCCCGGACGGGAGTCTCGCTTCTCCGCAGCCAGATCTCGCGATGTTCGGGAAAGGCCGAAGACCAGAAATGTTTTTTTGTGGCGTTGTCGTGCCCGCCCCTCCACCTTTTTTTTTTTTTTTTTTTTTCTTTCCTGGCCCCAATACATTAGTGCTGCAGTCAAAAAAAAAAAAAAAAAAAGACAAATCAAGACTCCGTGGCAAGAATAAATTAGGTTAACGTAATTCTACGAAGGGCTTCCATCTGCGAGGCCCCGGAGGCTGCACAACTAGTTCTTCAGAAACATGAGAAAAACGGAAATAAAAATATTAAAAACCCAACCGATGGTCTCGTTAGGAGCCAGTATTTGCTTTATTTTCCTCTTTTCACTACATTAAAAATCCCATTGGCTACCGAGCAGCCCGGTTCCCCGCAGCTGCCACTGCGCTTGCGCGGCGATCTGTTTACGAAGGGGGCGCCGCGTAGGCCGCGCTCCCTGCCTCCCTGGGCGCCCTCGCCGGCTGTGCTGGCGTGCGCCTCGTCGGGAAAATCAGGTGTTCTTTTGGGAGGACCGGTCAGAGGTTTAAAACAGGACAGGTCGCAAACTTGAAGCCAGTGAAAATAACGGTAACGGGACTCGGAGCCCTCAGAAGTGGGCGAGGCGGCAGCGCCGTCATGCACGGTGTGAGAGCCCCGCAGGCCCCTTTCCAAGACGCGGTGAGCGGCAACAGTGAGCCAAACGCGAGGTAGATATTTAGGGAGCCCTGCGGTAAAAATGCGACTGAGCCTGAACCACGTGCCGGCGTGATGAGGACGAAGCTGAATCAGAAAGGCAGCCATGCAGATTTTGAAACTGAAAAGAGGTGACTCTGGAAAAGCACAAGCCAATAAGCAAATCTGAGAGATGGTTTGAAGTTCTTTGCAAAGTTTCAGGTGGCTTAGAAGACAGTGGTGCATATAAAACGAGATCTGAGGAAGCTTCGTGTTTTAGGTAGCACTGGTTCCACTTGAAAAACAGGCAGGAAAGCAGATTTTTAAAATAGTCTTCGTGGAAGGGTCTCTGATGATACATTTTAATCTGGATCTTTAGAATTGGATAAAAAGCATATGTATTAACTGGTAATTTTATTGGACTATAGTTTTTTTTTTATTTGAGAGGTGTAATTTCCATCCTTTGGTTCACACCCCAAATTTCTATGATGGCTGGGGCTAGGCTGAGGCTGGAGATGGGAACTCAACCCAGGTTTCTCCACAGAGGTGGCAGGAACCCAATTTTTGAGCCATCACAGCCGCTTCCCAGGCTCTGCTTAAAGCAGGAAGCTGGAATCAGGAGCTAGAGACAGGTACCCATGGAATCAAGACCCTCACATTCTAGGCATCCACAGGCATCTTAATACTTAACCTCTAGGCCAAACTGCCCCTGGAGCAGTTTGGTGCTGAACGATGAATTTGAAGACTTTAATTTGTAATAAGAATTTTCTACAAGGTGAGATTTCTTTCAGTAACATGAAATTAAGTAGAGGAAATGTGTGGATAAATGGGCAGATGGGGCCAAATTTTGAAGGTTGTAAATGCTTCCAGTATCCGAGAAGGCATCACTTGAAAAGGGTAGCCTTTAGATTGTCTTAATGTTTTCAATATGCTAGTAAAATTTATTAAATCTTGTAGTTTGGCTTCTTGCTTTTAAACATGTTGGTACCAAAGTGAGGAGTGACTTTAAAATCCTGCTCCATAGCTAGAGGTACAATGCCGCAATTGAGAGAGGATGCTGACCAGTTTTTTGAGGCAGTATTAACTGACACTTTCTTCATGGAGGAGGAAAAGTGTGGATAAGGTGAAAGAGCTTCTGATTCACCTTAATAATTAAGAGTGACTCAGATAGATGGCTGGTTTTGTTGAGACAACTCGTGTAAAACAAAGAGGAACCTTTTATTGCACGTGAGAAGATGGCTTTAATGAAGATTAAGTATGAGAATAAGAGGAGTTGATTAAGACATTTGAATCCTTTGATACTCCTGGTGCATTTTTATGGGATGAAAATTGTAGTGTTAGACTGGTAAGGTATACAACTTTTTCTTTGCTGAAAAAAATCCATTGATGTATAAAAGAAACTGACTAGTGTATCGATCACCACGTGACTCAGGAAATATACTTCCCAAATTTATACAATCAGTGTTGAAAATGTTAACCATTTCTTTTTAAAAATTAATTATTTTATTTTCATTTTACATGAAAGGCAGAGAGATGGACACAGGGGTCACCCATCTGCTACTTTACTCCCCAAATGCCTACAATAGCTGGGGCTGGGCCAGGCTGAAGCCAGGAATCTGAAAATCAATCTAGGTCTCCCACGTGTGACAGGGACCCAAGTTCTGGAGCCATCATCTGGTGCTTCCTAGGCTGCACATTAGCAGGAAACTGGGATTCACTCAGATATGGGATGTGGGATCCTAAGTGTGTCTTTTTCTTTTTTGACAGGCAGAGTTAGAGAGAGAGAGAGAGAAAGGTCTTCCTTCCGTTGCTTCACTCCCCAAATGGCCGCTACGGCTGGCGCACTGCGCCGATCTGAAGCCAGGAGCCAGATGCTTCTTCCTGGTCTCCCATGCAGGTGCAGGGCCCAAGCACTTGGGCCATCCTCCACTGCCTTCCTGGGCCATAGCAGAGAGCTGGACTGGAAGAGGAGCAACTGGGACAGAACTGGTGCCCCGACCGGGACTAGAACCTGTGGTGCCGGCACTGCAGGCGGAGGATTAGCCTAGTGAGCCATGGTGCCAGCCATCCTAAGTGTGTCTTAACCATGTACCAAATGCCCACCCCAACCATGTAGTTTCCTTAGCCAGTATTTTTGGCATCCTCCCTTGTAATTACCCTGACATTGTAAATTAGTGGAAAAACTGTACTCATGTACATTAGTGAACGTGGGCTCTTGATTTATTATGACACCAAGGCAAATAAGAGATATTATGGAACTATTTTGCTTTTGCTTCCAGCTCTCTGCTCTGTTAAGTATTGGCAGTATTCAGTATTCTTCTCTATCACTGTTTCAGTCAAAGGGAAGAGCAAGAGAGGGATGGACGAGACAGAGAAGGGCAAACTTAGCTTGTGAGTGTTCAGCAATGTCCACTGAGGACATCTTTGCTGATTCACTCTTCTGCTGGGGAACTCCACCCCTGCGTCCTTCCACCCCTGTATTTGCATGGCTGAATTTTTCATTTCCTTTATGTCTCTGATAAGGAAAGAAACCTTACTGTTCTGTTATCTTCGATGTATTAAAGAGTCATTTATTGGCCAGCGCCACGGCTCACTAGGCTAATCCTCCGCCTTTGGCGCCGGCACCCTGGGTTCTAGTCCCTTTTGGGGGGCCGGATTCTGTCCCGATTGCTCCTCTTCCAGTCCAGCTCTCTGCTGTGACCCGGGTGTGCAATGGAGGATGGTCCAGGTCCTTGGGCCCTGCACCCGCATGGGAGACCAGGAGAAGCACTTGGCTCCTGCCTTCGGATCAGCGTGGTGCGCCAGCCACAGTGGCCATGGAGGGTGAACCAACGGGAAAGGAAGACCTTTCTCTCTCCCTCTCTCTCACTGTCCACTCTGCCTGTCAAAAAAAAAAGGTCTTTTATCACCATCACAAGGTGGCTGCCCCAGCCCTAAACATCATGTTCTCATATGAAAGGGTATGGAAAAAAAAACAAAAGCTCTTCTTGAAACTTCTGTCTTCTTAACAAAGCCAAAAAACTTTCCCATATGATTTGACAGACTTCCCTTTCATATTATTACCCAAGATTTTACCATATGACTACTTCTAGCTGAAAGATTGACCAGGAGGTATGATACAGTAAAGCCACTGCCTGAGTTACTCGTATCCCATATGAGTGCCAGTTCAAGTCTCAGCTGCTCCAGTTCCAATCCAGCTCCCTGCTAATGCACCTGGGGAAACAGCAGAAGATGGCCCGAGTACTTGGACCCTGCCATCCATGTGGGAGGCCTAAATGAAGCCCCTGACTCTTGGCTTCAGCCTGGTCCAACCCCAGATGTTGTAGCCATTTAGTGAGTGAAACAGCGAATGGAAGATTTCTCTCTTGTAACTCTACCTTTCAAGTAAATAAATATATCTTTTTAAAAAAAGTGACTAGGAAAGTACTAGGGTACTTCAAATGTAAAAGATAAATTTATTTTAGCACAAAAACTTTGAAATCCATGCAGTTTTTTTTTTCATAATAAGCACTTTTCATTAATTTTTGAAGACTCTTCATATGTCCGGGGAAAACAAGTATGCTCTTTAAACTGCTGTATTTAATATAGTAGGACTTGGCCGGTGCTGCGGCTCAATAGGCTAATCCTCCACCTGCGGCACCAGCACACTGGGTTCTAGACCCGGTCGGAGCGCTGGATTCTGTCCCAGTTGCTCCTCTTCCAGTCCAGCTCTCTGCTATGGCCTGGGAAGGCAGTGGAGGATGGCCCAAGTGCTTGGGCCCTGCACCCACATGGGAGACCAGGAGGAAGCACCTGGCTCCTGGCTTCGCAGCGGCCATTGGAGGGTGAAACAACAGTAAAGGAAGACCTTTCTCTCTCTCTCTCTCTCTCACTGTCCACTCTGCCTGTCAAAAATATGTATATATATATATGTATATAAATATATAAAGTAGGACTTATGGGAAATACAGGAGATGACCACTCAAAAACTAATCTGAGGACCGCAAAAATTGCTGTGCCAAAGTGGACATTTGTCCTAACAGGATACCCACATCTCAAATTAGAGTGCCTAGGTCCATTTCCAGCTCTAGCTCCTGACTTCAGCTTCCTGATAAGGCAGACCCTGGGAGACAGCAATAATGGCTCAAGTACTTGGGTTCCTGCCACCCGTATGGAAATTCTGGATTGAATTCCCAGCTCCTGGCTTCAGTTCCAGCCCAGCCCTGGCTGTTGTGGACATCTGGGCAGTGAAGGTGGATGAAAGCTCTCTTTCTCTGTGTGTGTCTTCTCTCTCTCTCCCTCTTTCTCTGAGTGTATCTGTATGTCAAATCAAAAAACAATTGCTATGGAGGTCAGTGTTGTGGTGCATCAGGTTAAGCTGCCACTTGCAAAGCTGGCATCCCAAGTGAGTGCTGGTTTGAGTCCGAGCTGCTCCACTCCAGAGCCAGCTGCCTGCTGATGAGCAGCGGAAGATGGCCTGAGTGCTTGGGCCTCTGCCACCCATGCAGGAGACCTAGATGGAGTTCTAAGCTCCTGGCTTCAGCCTGGACAGACTGGGCCATTGTGGTCATTTAGGGAGTGAACCTGTGGATGGAAGATCTCTGTTTCCTTCTCTCTCTTGTAACTCTACTTTTCAAATAAAAATAAATCTTTTTTTAAAATTGCTATACTAGTAAAAGATGCTACCAAAATTAAATCTCTGCTGGCATTTGTACTTAACATCACAGTCGTCCTTTAGGCCTGTGCTGTTTAACGTAATAGTGCAGCTATTGAGCACTTAAATGTACTAATCCAAATTGAGATATACAGTTAGTGTAAAATATATAGCAGATTTCAAGAAATTAGTATAAAGGAAGTGTAGAAATGTATTTTTATATTGATTTTCATACTGATTACATGTTGGAATGTCATTTCACCTGCTTGCTTTTACTTTTATTCTTTAAAAATGTGGCTGCTTTCACAGCATTGCACAATGTATCTCCTGTTTCTGTTGGATGGTGCTGCTTTAGAACCTTTATTCCCAGAGCACCTTCCGCGCTGGACAAGCTCGTGTATGCCCTCGAGGGTATACCACCCACAGCAGAGAATGTTGCTTTACACTTTGCTTTACTCTTGGCAGCTCAGTGGGGTGAAAAGCCTGAAGCCTCTAAACAGGTCTCTATTTTATTTTTTA